GCCAGCCAAATGAGCACTAAACTAGAACCATACAAAATATCACATCCCATATGAGTTGGACATATTTAGAATTTTATTGCAAATAGTTATCATATCAAATTAAGGTCGGCAAGCCTATATGGACTTATAAATCTAGTCAGCGGTAGGTAGGTACGTGGGAGGTCGCAATTTTGCCTTCTTACAGAGCCCGCCCTAGACTTGTATCTCTCTCTTGTAAGCATCTTGTTACCTTGAGCTAACATAATTAGTGACCCTTAATTGTAGTAGTTTTCATAATAGATATGAGGTTTCAAGTTTCTCATATTTCATCATCAGGTTTTGATTCTCTAGCCCAATTCTTCACATTCCAAAATGATAAACAATTACAGAGAGTACTACTGTTGCGTGGCTTCTAGGCATCCTAGGAATAGGTCCTACATTTTCCACAGCAACGATTTAACGAGGATCCTACAGTTAAACAGATAGAAGACACAAATTATAACGATTTCAATAGCCTTACTAAAAATTCACCGAAAACATAAAAGAGTAGAATGTCGTTTGACTCTTAATTTTAGTTCTCTAGCTAACTCTTAATTTCACTTCCCTCATTTCATTATTTTACGGACTCCTTTGACATGTATGGTTCTAACTTAGAGTTTCTACATTTAGCTCTTATTAATTTTACTTTATTAGCCCTTAATTTCACTTCTCTAACTACCTTAGAAATTATAGTTTCTTGGAAAGTTACGTGAATCTACCATTTTATTTTTCTAGAGGGCAATCATGTTGTTGATTCCTTAGCTAATTATGGGGTTGATGTTGGCTCTCATTGATGGGATCAGTGTTCCTTCCTTTGCGTCTACATCTTATTCTAGGGATTTTTCAGGATTCACTAATTATCAGTTTTTATGATTTTGTTTCCATAGTTGCTTTTCCGAGGTTTGGTTTTTATCTCTCCCCACTCCCCCCGGCGGCGGGTCTTTGTACTACCTTTTTCTTCTTCATTAATTTTAAAAACGTAAGGGGCTGATTCCCTTTTATGATAAAATAAATAAATAAAAAATGTGAATCTACTATTTGAGTAAAGAGTCATTTTTTGACCGACCTCTCTTTAACATGCATGGTTCTTCTGTGAATTTTCTATGTTACAAAAGATACTTCATATTATATGTTCAAAACCAACAATATATACAACTGCACGAAACCTGTATATTCGAAGGTTTTAACTTTTACTCTCCTCCACGATGTGACTACTTGTATTATATCACTTATACCCATCGATCACATGTCTCTGTGTGTGTATGCACCATACACCCTGCATCCAGTACGCAATTGCACCACATGGCAAAGCACATAAAGCACATCAAGCTATGGAGTGAGACAATTCTTGGACACTTTTGCCAAATGTTTTAACGCTATGAATTGACAATTCATGATGATTGCCATTTCTGTATGTAAGAGTACTACCAGTTAAATCGAATTTTTAACCAAATTTGTAAATCATATGATGCGTCATCAATAAAAAATAAGCACGTTAATTCAATCATCAACAAACATGCTATAAGGTTTAAAAACTTGGTCTAATCAGTTGATCTCCCTAATATTATCCTTTTTGTATACAACAAAACTTGCATACGCATGCTTTACTCTTGTCTAACTCAAATATTAATTCCTTGACTTGTATGTTATGGGAGTTGATTTTTACACACTATTTTTAAGCCTTTCACATACCACTCCTTATTTTTAATTATCAAATTGTATATTAAAAAAATGTGTATTTATCATTTTATATATGTTATCTTGAGAGTCTATACCTATCACTATACTTATTGGATAAACATTAATATTTCTTAATACACATGCAATATTTTATGCCCCATGCATTTACAATATTTTATGCACGTCCTTAATTACTTGCAAAAGGATGTAACATGAGTCTTTATTTTTGTTTGGTTTTCTTTTGGGGTCGAAATAGAGAGGGGGATTTAACCTCATTGTGGTCATGTGAATCAAATGCTCCCAACTCCTCTCCTTCTACTATTTTCTTCAATATTTGTCACGTAACTTCATCGCATGATCAACAAGTCACGTTATATGTTGCATTTATACAATATCAGAAAGCAAATCATATGTTTCGTAAATCTAGGGTTCGTGACAAAAACGAAAAGATAAAAGAAACTCTTTGGAAATTATGGGTGCTAGGTAAGATGTGTCCTTAAGCCCTACGTAATGGTGGAGATATTTTTCTCTCAATCGACAAATTGCAGTTTGCAAGCCTAACTCTAGGTAGCTAGTTCAAGCTTTCTTTAGTTTTGAAGACAACCTATTGATTTAACATTTGGAAAGGCATCATATCGATGTTATCTTACTTTCGTAGGCTTCTCTCCTTATCCGTTATTGGAACATATCAATCAATTTTTGTGTCTTATTTCATCCTCATCCACAAATAAAAAGAAAAACACTGGTAATGCTGTAGTCAACTGTAGTGTACTGTGTATGTATATAATATATATCATATATGAGTTAGAATTCAGGGTACACACTATTGACTTGTATTTCGACACTAATTTTGTAGTATATATTCATTTTGTAATTTATTTCAATGATTTAAATAGTCTATATTATTTAGTACATTTCTCATGGATCATTCGTGTAAAAAAAATAAACAAATTCAAAACCATTAAGACATTCATTTGTTGTGAAGAAAATGGACGAATATGATTTTACATAGACTAAATTTAATCCAACAGTCATATGGCTTTTTATTTGGTAATTTTTAGTAAACATGATCTTTGAGATAAAACAGAAAAAATAAACGATTTAAATTGTTAAAATACTTTATAAAATAAACTCTACAAAAATATGTGTTAAATGTGTGTCAAAAGCGTATATTCCCGAATCTTGACCCTCTATACACACACGCAGGAACGTATGTAAACATTTTTCGATAGTGTGAATCATGCGCAGCCTTAGTTCATGTCGTTTGGACCCTCTCTTCCCAAACGCTGATTGGACCGTCTCTTGGGTTGTATGATATCAAGTGAGAATATCCCTTCTTCTGCCCCAAATGAGAAGCAAGTACAGAGGGAGGGAGAGTGAATAATCAAATGTCGCACCCATGGGTCAGCATCCTCTCCTAATATAAGGATGAAGATCCTCATGATCAAAGATATGGACCGTTGGATAAAAATCTAACGGTTATAATTATTATAACTTTAAAGGAACTTCCTGTTTATAGCCGTTGAATTTTCATCCAACGGGCCACATTCTTTAATCATGAGGATCCTCATCCTTAGATTAGGAGAGGATCCTGGTCCGCACCCATGCACTGGGAGTTCACGGGGTTGTGTACTTTAGGCCGCACAGAAAACGATATTGGAAATGGTAGGTCCCGGCGTGTAGTAGATTATTGTGAATTTGTCAAGGATGAAAAAAGCAAGAGCAACCCTCCATGCACCTCTACTACACAATTTTAAGAATTTTGAGAAACCACTGTGAGGAAAAGGGAGGCAGAATGTGTGCTTTTAGAGACTCCTGGGTCCTTTGCGCGTATGCAGTAATTACATTGGATCAAACGTTCAATTTACCTTCTTTAAAGTGCTTTGCGCGACGATAGATTCGTCGTGCAAGTTGTTGGCATGAAAAACGCATCATACCCGTCTTTTTTGTTCCCTTTTGCGCAACAAAGGGTTTTGTTTGTCGAGCAAAGAAATTCCTCCGTCGCGTAAAGATGTTATTATTTGTGCGACATATCCTATTTTAGTCACACGAACATGATTTAAACCACAAATTTGTCTTTGTCGCATAAAGTTTCGTCGTGCAAGCTGTTTTTTCCTACAAGTGATCCTAATTGATATGTTACCTACTTGACATCCAAAACCTTGATTATTATATACATATTATTCATCCCCTCATACGTTTTATAATTGACGGCTCATAATAATTTCATGATATAATTCACAATTTACAAAGGTTGCTAGTGTTTTGTTAGTGTTTTTTTATATCTTTGTTTCTATATTGATATAGAAAATTAAAATGATAAAATACCAAAGTCCAACAAAAATTACATTTTTTTTGGATAAGAAGATATATAAATTCTAATCTAAATTACTTGGCATGCTCGAGCAATTCTGAAGTTAATGTACACCAGAGAGGAAAGGAGATAAATCTCGCAGTTTATGCACATCATGGGACTATACACATACATATGATGAATCGTAGGAGAATCATGTAGCACAAATTCCTTTCACATTAGGCACCCTATTAATTGTTGCACGAGTCTTCTTTCAGTGTGCTTCAAACACACGTGAAAAAAAGGACCACGGTAAACCATTTGTGAGTCTTCTTAGTACAAGTCATATTCTACCGTTTACACTAAGAGACGGTCTAACCCCGCGACGCATGAGTAACCTAACCATTGAGAAATTTTTTAGCATCTTAGAAATACGATCCGGTACACCTAATGTCGTGTAGTATTAATGGTTGGATACTTGAAAAAAGAAAAAACCTTCCAACCACTTATATTACAACACCTAATGTATCAAGTCGCGTTCGTGATAGACAAAAATATTTCCCAACTTTCGGGCAATAGACAACTTGCTCCATCCTTTTGGTACCTAACATGTTGAAACCAACCAAATATGTGTTCAAAATCTTTGTAGAATTGTCGTTGATTGGTTGATCACGAAGCCATTAGAATTTAGTATAAACTTTGAAGGTTTCAGTTTCCATACGCATGCTGATCATTGAAATTTGCAATGACTCCCTTTTATTAATTTATGCTGAGCACTTTGAAAACGAAAACTGCAAAAATACGAGGTTCTCACTTGGTAATGATCCACGCAATTTCAAAACTTCTCTGGAAAATTACCTATGGGGAATTTTACGAATCCCAATTGTTGAAATGATCAAAATTAAGTAACGACAACATACTTATCTAATATTGGTGACATTATCAACCTGATGATACTGCTGACAAAATAAAATCTAATAAGGTGATAATTTCAACTATCGGATTAGTATTTTCATCGTTTCAGCCAATTTCCGAAATTTCATAGGCACTAAAGCAACATCAAAATAGCACTACATCATACAGTAGTATAAAATGAAAATGGCAATGGTAACATGTATGTCACTACTCTTTTTAGGTGAATGGCATCAGGGAAAATCAAGATGATTGCAAGATATAACCACAGAAAAAGTTCGGTAGAATGAGTGGCAATTGAAATTGATAATGCAGGGCTCATGAAAGATCAACTAGAAATTGAAAACAATATGCAAATGTGATGTCATTTTGCGGCTAGAACGTTACTGGTACACGAAGTCCATCATAGCTCAGTTGTACATCAAGACCCTCTGTTTCCTTCAATTTTGAAAGATAATCGTTCACCTTTTCATGATCCATCAGATGCATCATACCTTCATCGGTGCAAACAACGAAAAGAAGCAGAATTTTTAATTTCTATATAGGCTGCCACGGTAGTCATTATAACAGTAACAACTAATAACTGATCTTGAACAAAATAAGGCAAACACATACCAGTGAACAAAGTTTTTCTTGGTTGGATTTTCCGCACTTCCTCCAAAGCCTGAAAAGGAAGTAGATAAATCTTAAGGCTTATTGAAGATGGATCATTACACTAAGGCACAGAATAGCTTACCCTTGGGAGTCCAAAATGTGTGGAAGAAGACCGATCTGGCCGTAAAGCATCCTGAAGAAATTATTCAACTTATCAGCCCAGTCAGAAAAGAAGAGTTGTCATGCATTTGTGTAAAAGTTGGGTCTATAAATAACCAATGAATGTGTGGGTGCATGTTGTGAAAGAGAGGGATAGGCACCAGAATAGGAGCTCGCAGTCTTTCAGAAGTGGATAAGTTTCTTCAGCTATGTCGCCACCTTCACTGTAAATGTAAACTAATGATTAGCAATTTAGCTATCTATTGAAACACTACATAAAATATGATAGTACAAGCATAAAAATGACAGTTATCTGGGACCTGCATTTGCGGGAATAGAAGCTCTACCTAATATAACAAACATTACCAAAACGATATCCAAAGGAGCGATAACCCTGACCATGCCACACAGCATTGAAAATAAAAAGTTGGTAAGAGTGGCAAGTCATACAATAGATTCATTGAGAGACAATATTTTCTACTAAAACTTTCCTGTTAAATTTCAACTGCTTCCTACATTGGTCAAGACATACATTGTTTCACTCCTCTTACATGTCTTAAGTCAATCAATTCCTACGTTAAAAGCATGAATTAAGAAAATCTCAAGTCGATATAAACCAAGTTGATATAAATTCTGACCTTCAAATCTTGTACTACAAATGGATCCTCATGTATGATATTTAAATTGCAACTCTGAGACTGCAGCACTAGCAGGAACCACACTTGTATCCACCAAATAATAATGAGTCTTTTTCATTACCTGCCAATAACTGTCGCAGTTTCATACACATGTGTAAGAAAGGTGCACATTAAATAGCTATGAAGACACGATTAAAGAAAGCATCAGTATATTACCCATCATTCAATGGAATGCAAGAAAGGAAGATGCTCGGACCTCAAAATCACGCTGGGGAACATAGATCGGGATGCCGGGTTGGACATTGTTTGTCCAATCACGAAGATCATCCAGACATTGTTTGTCCAATCACGAAGACCATCCAGACCTGGAGACATACAAATAGAGCCTCAGCGATGTTTAATGTCAATTAAAAGGAATTAGAAAAGAAAGAAAAAGATCTAAAGCATCATCGTAAGTTTGTTAATAGTTTAAATAATAACATTAGAAAGTGTTCATGACAGAGATTTCCAATAGCATGAGCATGAGAATGAGTAATTATAACCGCATCAATTGTTCTTATCCTGACAGAAATACAACTAGTTACGACAAGGCAAATACCAGACAATTACACACATATATTAATGGAAGCACCACTAATTTAACCATATATGTAAATCCTTGAAGACAGAAAAACCCTTTGAATAAAAGAAGCTGAAGAAAAACATAGTCTTGCTACTTCAACAGTCCAAAAAGGACACTTCAAGATATGTAAAACTTGAATCCAACTATTCAAGACATGTTGAAAAATCGAAACTACAACAATCAGGGGTGGCCCTACGTAACATCCTATGCATAAATCTAGGGAATACATGAGAGTGGTATTACAGTACCAAAACACCAAACTTTCATAGACCACAAGAAATCAGTCCTCAATATCAACGTCTGAAAGTTTTATCTTGAAGTTTCCTACCATAACATGCAATGTTAGTATCTGATCTTATTGCAACTAACCCAGATAATTTAGACGTGTCACACATGGGAGACAATTTGAGATCATGAACTCCTTGTAGGCCAAACTACGACAATTTTAATGAACATACAATTACAGCCAATTTTGTTGATGATCCAATAGTCAGTGTACACTGATTACAAAAGTGTGAAGTTTGACAAAAAAATTTCCTCAATTTTGATACGGATTATATCTTCCTATCGTAGAACCACCACTCCTATCGTATCCTCTACCAGAACCATAACTGCCTCCGCCACTATTAACACCACAACCAGTAGCACCAGTTCCATACCCTTTACCACCCACATAGGCAGTATTGCCACCATAACCACCAGGCTTGCCATAATCACCGGCTGGATATCCAGCATTGCCATACATGGGTCCACCATAACCGAATCCATATCCATATCCACCATAATTTCCACCATAGCCCCCGTAGAAACCTGCATAAACTCCAGCATAATTTCCACCGTAATTGTTGTAGACACAGTAAGGGCCATACCCAAACCCACCAAATCACCATAAGACTTGGCAGCACTGCCACTGAAATTGCCACCACCCCTTTTAGGTTCAGCCTTCTTAATTTCCACCTACATTCAACATTAAGGTGAAGAGATTACAAAATCTCTTCCAAAGTCCATACATGAAAAAATAAACAAACCATTTTTTGACTTGTACCTGTTTGCCTCCAAGTTCATGTATTTTTCCCTCAGAAAATATCTTGTCAAGAGCATCTTCGTTCTCAAAAGTGACAAACCCAAATCCTCTAGACCTCCCGGTGTTATGATCTAGCATAATCTGGTGCTCAACAATGATACCGTATGTAGAGAAATAATCCCCCAACTCGTCTACAATGTTTTAACATAATGTCAAAATTGAAAACAAAAAACAATTTCATTACAATCATAATAAACATATAAAGTAGGTTCTACTATGGCTATAACATCAGTCAAAAACGTTGGTATGCCACCAACAAAAATCTTCTTTCTTTTCGATGCCCCTTAAACCCAATATCCTCCCTGGGGACCATCCTCTTCAACTCTACCTGGTACAAGAATAGTTTATCACCACTCAGGGAGCTGAGTTAGACGAAACTATCAAACAATACATTTCAATTTTTGGGAAAATGATGCCATCTATATGACATGTTCTACTTCCAAAACTGAATCAACAACCACTGGATCCAAAAATGTTACAAACCCAAATCCCCTTGGCTTCCCAGTATGTTTGTCGATCATAATAACAGAATCAGCTATTTCTCCATACTTGCTGAAGTAATTGGAAAAGTTCTCTGAAAGGAAAATCACCAAAAGCTGAGTTAATACTAGTCATGAAGAAACAACTAGATCTCCCCTTTATATTAGTAATGGTGAGGATACATGGGGAACCATTACTATTCATAAAAGAAAGTGACATCTAACAAGGACATCAAAATGGCATCACGACCATAAAATTAGTAAAATAATCTAATCATATTATCTGAGATGCAAATTGTTTATGATGTACTTCAGCAGAAAGCCTGAAATATGTGAGATAGTAAGTAACAAACACATACTAATGGAAATCATAGCAGACAACTACACGTCCCAATAGCATTTAATAGAAACTCCGAAACAAAAACTACTTAATTTGTTCTCATCCAGGGAAAATTTCAGAAAACTCTAGCAACGAAGTTTTGTGAAGTTCAAATCCTTCTTGCTTGGGCACCCAGTCTTTCCACCTCACATGGATAGTTTTACCCAACCACCACCGTAATTGTAATGGTGCACACGAAAATTACACCAGACAGCCATATTGAATAAATAAACACAACTAATCTGGTAGATGTTATGCACAGACGTACAACGACATCTGCAATGTAAGATGAAAAGTAAAGCAACATTTCCCAGCCATATGAGGCTTCCAACTCTTCGATATCTCAAACTTATAAATTCAATTTCATTTTGAATACCAAAAGCTTTACACAAAAATTGGCCCGATCACCAATCCGATTAAAAGAAAAATGTACAATCCATGACCTCAACAAGACCCAAGATGTAAAATTATGTTCTTTTCAAATTTCAAGTAAACTCAATGCACCACTAAAATCCAAAGCTTAACCAAAATACCTTCAGTGGTCTCCCAAGAAACGCCTCTTACAAACAGTTTTCTACCACATAAGAAAACAAACCCAAATGTTACTATCTCATGCTACTCTCAATCATACTCACAAAAATCAAAACCTTGGCTTGAAAACTCAAAACCTAACTAACCACGCAGCTGAATCGCGATGATTGAACGAATCCCTAAAATCATTGCCTTCAGCATCTACGTTATGGTTCGATTGAAATCCATGCCACGATTCGAATTGTTGCTCCGATTGCCGCTCAAATTCTTCAAATTGCTGCTCTGCCGGTTGTTCAAATTCTTCGTTTCCATTGTATGCGATTTGGTCGTCGTCGTCGAAACGACTGCGTTCAGGGTCATCTTCCATTGGGTTTTAGGCCCCTATTTGCTTCTGCGCCTATTGACCTGCAAAGGAATCAGTTTGTGGGCTACTAAACCCTAGCTTAGCTTGCAATTATGCCATTGGAGAAGCTCAAACTCTCAGTGAAATCACTACGATGAACCCTAAGATTAGGATTCGGGTTCATTACCTTATTAGCTAGGGTTTTTGTGAGAGCGAGAGTGTTGGAACTTGGAATTGGAATTGGGATTTTTGTGGTTGCAGAGAAGCCCTAGCTTGAAACGGCGCCGTGGAAGGAGAATCGGGCGTCAATTTTTACATTTCAATTTGCATTTTCAGTTATCAATATTGAAGCCTTTGACGAGACAATGTAGTACGTTATGCTACGACGTCGTTGGCTGGTCTTTTATTTATTTTTTTCGAGATTTTCTTTGAATCTTTTTCTTTACTTATAAATAGAGGAAATTCTCAATATAGTCCTACTGATCAAAGATGTTTTTGACAAGTAAAATGCATGTAAAAGTGATTATTTGTTGTTACTGTTCAAAAAATCGACGATGTATGGTTGATAATCGCTCTGATTAATCTTTAGTCATTTAAAAATTAAGAAATGAGGCCTATATTTGTTTAGGCATCTGCTTATACTACCTAGGTACCTACTTAAGTCACGACTCTCACTTATACAGAAAATAGATAATTTTTATTTTTGTATTTTACTTATTTTTATTATAAATTGTAAGAGACTTATTAAATACTTGGATGAACACTCATTTTACTTCTTTCATATGTTTTCAATATGTTCTGGTACTTTATAATCTATGTCATTATGTTTCCAATTTATGCATTCCAATACATGTATTTTTTTAAAATATATACAAACACTTATTTATTTAATATATAATAAATTTACTTAAATCCGCTTAGTCCGCTAGATGACTAGACATTAGGCTTCGGTTCACTGCCTGACTAGCGCCTAGTGTCTTTTAAAACCTTGTATGTTATAATCATGGATGACCCCATATAATGATTATTTCATGAACATACTAAAGCACGAGCATGAATAATTCACTTACAACTAACCATGTGGAGGATGAGTCACCTACAATAAATCATTTGTACCTCACACCATTTCTATATATAGATGTAGAGAGCTCTGTTAGATAATAATCAACAATGAACCAGAAATATATATATACTAGCAATAGTCCCCGCACGTTGCTGCGTATCTTAAAACTACTGAACATAAAAGAAGAAAACAACCAGTGCAAACTTGTAATGGATAGTTTGTAATTAACAAGTTTTTAGTATGTTCATACTATTTAAACACAGAAAATATAATAAGAAAAAGAAGCAGAGTGTTGGCAGAAAGTGATGTAATTTGCAGTATACCTGTAGTTCAAGTCTGTGTAATCAATTTTAGTTGTGAACACCGGTAACATATATAACTTAGAGAACAGAAAACAGCAGAAACTGAAGAAGAAAATGATGTGCACATAGAATATACTGCAGTAACTATAAATTAAGGTTAGAAGTGTTTTGATATTGATATAAATTTGTGGTGGAGAATTATGCATAAGAGGATATGCAAAGAGTTATAAATATCAAACACAAAATGGACAAAATATTTTTACAAAGTGTCTAAGTATATATAATTTACAGAAAAGGCATTATCAAATGCCTTATCACCAGCATACAAAAAATGATTTACCTCGCATTCCCCTTTGACAGTTACTGCTTCACTGGCATGACTACTTGAACAAAAAATATTGTAAAAGAGCACATTGTTTATATACACAAAAAGTATGGGGAATTGATGTGACGATCTACTATTTACACACAAAAAATTGTCAACTGATACTTGTTTATTTTGGATTATAGATGCCAACATTCTTTAAGACATGAGCAAAAGTTTTTTGCTTTTTGGTTGAAGCAGTCACTGCAAAAAAAATAGTTTTCATCGTGAGAAAAAAATGGAAGCCAAAAATGAAAGATAATGTTAATAAATGTGTAATAAATTTTTGAGATGAACAGATTCATAGCATGGAGCAATTAATAATAAACTATAGTTACCTAGTTTTTTTTGTATGGAGCAAAGTCTGTCTTTGAGCTGGTTGGTGACGATTTTCTTTTGAACAATTTGATTGGAACCTGGTCCTGATCTTGTGCATCTGTTTCACATATTTCTTCTGCTTCACTGTATCACAAATATTTAAGATATGAAAATGATAAATTTAGACCATATTGAGTTGAATTTGAGATGCAGTTGAAAATATTGATATATATAGTGTATAACCTTGTTTTAGATGGTATAAAAAGGGCTCTTCTAATTGATTCTCTTTTTCTTTTATGTGAATCAGCAATTATGTCAACAGGTGAATCAGCAATTATGTCAATAGGTGTGCTTGAAGATGAAACTGTTGTAGAAGAGACTGTAACTTCTCTACTTAAAGATTGTGGAGTTGTTGGTTGAATGGTGAGGTCCTCAGAAATATTATAGATGAGAAGATCATTCGAGTTTAATGAATTTCTTCTGCTTCCAAATCGAAGGTGATAAATTTTTTTCTGCCCTATAAGTCTAAGAAACTCACTTGGCAACTGTTTTTGATCCACTGATCTCTGATTGAAAACCAAATCTTTACAGGGTACGCCAAAAACTTTTTCACCTGATCTGCCAATAATAAGAGCACTGATCTCGTCTGTCTCATCTTCAAGAACTAAGAACACTTTGTACCTTCATTTAAAAACATAATATATAGAGCTTTATATGTCATTGAAAAGGCCAGAGAAAATGGATGATTTCATACTAATTATCCTGTATTAGCTATACATATACATACATACATATATATATATATATATATATATATTTTTTAAGTGAAGCAATAACATTTTAAAGAACAGAACCTTCGAATGGTATTTTGTGCTTCTCTGTTGAGAAATTGCAGATTGTATAACATATCTTTTCTAATATTTGAAACACTATTTGATATTTGAACTGATAGTTAAACTAAATAAATGAAGACATTAGATGCTGTTGGTTTTTTTTAGATGGAAGTTGGGTGCAAAACTTAATAAACTAAGGCATGGTAGTAATGATAAAATTTGGTGAAAATGACATTGAATTAACTTATGAGATATTGTTAGCTCTTCATTGGACCAGTACTGAGAGGTATACAACTTGAAAAATACATGCAAGTCAAGAGTTTGAACAAATATCATGACCTGAAACAAATTGACCAATATCAAGAACACAGACATGGCTAGGTTGGGTAATATATGAATGATTTGGTGAATGGAATGTAATACTTGTAACTCCTAGTTTTTACACTAAATGTTGAACAAAATAAGAGTAAAAAGATCAATGACATCTTGATTGGAATGAAATACTTTTATATAAACGCTTAAAACCAAAATGTTATCAAACTAATTTGCAGTTGGAGAAGATAGTTGAAAAATTAATTATCAAAATGAGAAGAGTCAAACTAATTTAGGCATTGTTCTCAACATTATTAGCACATATCTGACTTGTAGGAAAAAGAACTAATGCTAACCTGAAGAGAGAGGAGTTAATAGTAAAGAAATGCTACAAATCTTATTAACAACATCTATATCTACAACAGAAGAAAGCAAATCTTGATTCTAATTGCAATTATTAATGAAGTGATTGGGTTTCAGGTTGTAGTTGATGCTACTTAATTGATTATTGGTTTGATTAATGGAATCTAAACTTGCAACGATTCATAAAATAGAAAATTTGAAACAATGTTAGAATTATTACCATGGAGTGGGAATCTGATTTGGATGCTTTTGGCAAATAAGTTGACCACTTGTTGGATCTTGATGCATTTGTTTTGCGCACGTAGGGCAAGCCGTGTACCACCATTCATATTTCGTATTGTATCGCTTAATCGATGCTTTGCACAAAAATGTATCATTCTAGGGAATGTTGGAAAAATTTGTATTAACACAGGGACAAATTATTAAATAGATAAGTTTTATGAAATAACTTAATAAAAATTGAAAACGTTTTTATTGAACATAATTAAAAAGAAAACGTCTTTTTCCCAGTTTGGAAAATGTCTTGCTCATTGGCTTGCTTGGAAGGAGGCAGTGTTTTAATGGGATGAAGCCAGGTTGAAAACTTGTAATCATTCAGATTGAAAATTGGAAAAACAGAAATAAAAATAATTTAATATATATATATATATATATAACCACACTGTGATAGCCCGTCCCGAGAATATCGAAAACGTACGTGTGAAAAGACAGTTTTGCCCCTAGTTCGATTTCGTTACGTTTATTGGTTGTTTTTGTGTTGTGTTGGCATGTCTTTGGGCCACACACACTCTCCCACACCTGCACCACTCCCTGTCCCTTTCCCTATGATTCCCCGAGCCCCATTTCCCTTCCTCTTCCTTTGAAAACGTACGGACACACACCAAATCCCATCAAACAACCACAGATCGAAGGAACCAAGTACATATTCGAGCTCGTGAGGCTCGTGCGAGTGCAACCATACCATTTTCAGGTAAGAACTTCAACGTTTTCACGTCGATTTCACAATGGCCGATTTGGGGTACTATTCATGCACACGTGATTTCTCACGTTTTAGGGGAAATGAAGCTTGTAGATAGCTTGGTGAGGTCCCAAGGAGGCTCGGAGTAGTTCGTTTGAAGAAATTGGACGTCGGGATCGTTGGTTTCGAAGTTGGCCGGAGTTGAGTGGTTTGGACAGGTGAGATTTTGTGGTTTTTGTCCCCTAAAAGTTGTATATTTGTATTCTACTAGGTCTAAGCTTCATTTTGGTGGTAATTTCATGAAATTTGGACGAAAAACGAGCGAGATATCGAAGTTTGAAAATTTCCCAGTTTTCCGGCGCCGGAGAAGGTGACGGAATATTCCGTCAATTATGACGGAATATTCCTGACGCTGTTAACGGAATCTGTCAAAACTGACGGAATATTCCTAACGGCGTTAGTTGACGCCGTCAGCGTGCCAGGCACGTGGCCGGCGCTTGCGGCGGTGGAAAATTTTTCTAAAAATTTGGGTGTGATCCTGAGGTTGTGTAGAGCACGTTGGTATATTCAATTGTCCAATTTGAGCAATGTATGAGAAGTTATTACGAAACGAAGGTTATGTGCTTTAAAATTAACGTTTTTATAGTATTTTCGCATATAAGTGAGACGTATCCCGAGGACGAGCGTGGTCACTCGAGGCAGGGGGGCTACGACCCTTCCACATACCAGTGAGTAGGCTTTTGGTTTTCCGTATATACCTATATACTATTATTTTCCCAGAAATTGATTTAAATGTTATTAGTTATATGCCATGTGTTATATTATCGTTCCTTATGCATCATTAGTAGCTTTATTAATCGTATATATATACGTATGCATCATTGGTGTTGTGGATGCACAGGTAAGTGCCAGGTAAGCGTTATTTCATATTTGCATTCAATAGTGGTTAGAGATGCTTAGAGAGCTCATAACCTGCACCCCCGGTGTTAGTGCTCCCGCCCAGAGTAGGGCACAATCCTTCACATGTTGTTCACCTCCCGCACCACACGCTCAGCTTGGATCCAAGTTAGGTGCACAGTCTTGTCGTATAGACCACTTTAGGTGGTTCCGACTCGTAGGTGACCCGCGATTATTCGCACAGTCTTCACGTGATCGTAGCACTAGAGCGTTTATATGTATTACCCAAGCCTGTCGTACAAACCACTTTAGGTGGTTCCGACTCGTGGGCAAGTTTAGTTATTGTGATTGAGATTTGAGCTCTAGATGCAGCCGTACAGGTCACGTTAGGTGACTCTGGCTGCCAGATTATATGTTATTGATGTGATTTATACCTGAGCACTTGCATTTCATTCTGAGGTTCCGATATGGCATAGATTTGAGCATGATTGGCATCTTTATATACACGTGCCTATGTTTATTTTCTGGGAAGTATACAGGTTTTACGGCGAGGGGTTAGAACTTATTTTGCTAAATGATTTTGAAAAGCTTTATTTTTGCCTACTCACGCTTTTGTTTTGCACCCCTCCAGGTTCTAGCTAGCTATCAAGTTTGGTGGTTTCCAAGAGGGCTTTCCCGGCATTTCTGACAGATGATCACCAGCGTATGTTCACCTTCGGGTGCACTGTTGTAACGCTAATTTAGTTTGGATTGCTTAGGGTTTTCTGCTCTGAATTTGTGTCGCACTTATGCTAGCACTTATTATTTTGACCTTATGTATGCTAGTTTTTTATTATTCGTACTTTTACGTTACTACTTTATTAGCTTCCGCACTGTGCACTTGGCTACGTCACTCCCACGTGACGGCCAGCACGCCCTGATCTTGGTCGGGGTGTGTCAGTTTGGTATCAGAGCCTAGGTTTGGCAGTCTTGTGTCTTTTGTGAGTATTCTAATGGTTTTGGTGCCTTCTGTCAGAACTATGCCGCCTCGTCGGGAACCACGTCGCTCTGATGAGCCTAGTTTCCCCGATATTGCTCAGCTGGGGGAAGCTATTGCTACAGCTATTCAGTCGACGATTCGCCCTCCCCAGAGGACTCCTCTGGAGACTATGTATAACTTGAAGTTGGATAAGTTTGAGGGTAATGAAGGTCATGAGGGTGCGAAGCGATGGTTAGAGCACATTGAGAAGACTTTTCGTGTTCTGAATAGTCAGGGGAATCTTCCAGTCGAGAAGTGGGTTGAGACGACCTCGTGGTTTCTGGGTTCGGAGTCTGCAGCCTAGTGGGAGCAGGAACTTCGTCATTTGACTCCAGCTCAGAAGACGGATTGGAATGTTTTCATTAATTTATTCAAGAGAAGGTTTGTGCCCCCTGAGTACATCGATCGTAAGAAGCAGGAATTTACTGAGTTGAAATAGAGGAAGATGACAGCGAATGAGTACTATCGAAAGTTCACTGATTTATCTCGCTATCATCCTGAGATTGCTGGTAATCCGGCGGAGATGCTTCGTCGTTTTCGCTTAGGTACTAAGAAGAAATGGCGTTCGATGGCGACCACTACTCACTGTGATACTTACCAGGATTTCTATGAGGTTCTTCTGAGAGTTGAGGACTCTGAAAACATGTTGAGTGAGAGTGATGAGGAAGAGAAGAACGGTAATCAGAAGAAATATGTTAAGGGTAAAGGTCAAGCGTCGCTCGGGCCTCGTCAGACTCAGAATTTCAAGAGGGGTGGTACTAGTTCTAGCTCTTCTAGCGGTGGTTTCAGCGCCACTGGTCAGGGACGTGGAGGTAGGTTTGCTGGTGGTGCTCGAGGCCAGAGATAGGGTGATGGTGGCCGAGGTAGGGCCCCACTTTGCCGCAAATGTAATAATTGGCACTTTGGCGAGTGTAGGTGTGGCAGCAGTGGTTGTTTTACTTGTGGGCAGATGGGACATCGAGTTGCGAATTGTCCCCAGAGTCAGCAGCAGAAGCCGCAGCAGACTTTCTTGCCGCCACCTACGCCGATTCAGCAGATTCAGGGTCCGGGTAGTTATGGACATGCAGGTCGAGGTGGTGCCTATCACTATCAGGGTGGTGCTGTTCCTTATGCCCCGGGACAGTATCAGTATCCCCAGGACCCATATTCTCAGGGTGGTTATCCTCCGTACTCTAGCGGCTATATGCCGTATCCTCCAGCTCCAGCAGGCGGTTCTCAGTGGTTTCAGGGAGGACAGTTCCAGCAGGGAGAGATTGCTTCGAGTAGTGCGGGGTCTTCGAGGCAGTCTGGTCAGCCTAGTCAGGGGCGTGGTACTCAGAATCGTGGTGGTCAGTCGAGCAGAGGTCGCGGTGGACGACAGCAGACCTAGGGGCGTATTCATAATATTTCGCTGCAGGACGCTCAGAACAATCCGGATTTGATTATGGGTACGTTAAATATACTTGGTTATTTTGCTAGAGTATTAGTTGATTGTGGTGCTACACATTCTGTGATTTCTCATACATTTGCTCAAGTGACGCAACCTCGCCCCACACCTCTAGGGTACGATTTAGAGTTCGCTATGCCTAGAGGAGAGAGATGTATTGTAGATCGGGTGTACCCAGGGTGTCCAGTGATAGTTGAGGGTGTTGTTATGCCAGCTGATCTTATCTCGTTAGATATTGTTGACTTTGATGTGATTCTGGGCACAGATGGTTGCATTTCTATCGTGCCAATATTGATTGTTACGGGAAAATAGTTACGTTTCATCGTCCTGGACTACCTGTGGTTACTTTTGTGGGTGAACAGAGCGGGGTGAGACATAACGTTATTTCGGCTTTGTGAGCGAAAAGGTTGTTGTCTAAAGGTTGCCAGGGGTACTTAGCTCATGTGGTGTTGGATGAGGCTCCTCCTGGTAGAGTTGAGAATGTGAGGGTAGTCAGACCCTTCCTATTTCTTTGACCCCTTATCGTATGGCTCCCGCTGAGTTAAGGGAATTGAAAGTTCAGTTGCAGGAATTAGTGGATAAGGGTTTCATTCAGCCTAGTACTTCACCGTGGGGAGCCCCAGTATTGTTTGTGAGGAAGAAAGATGGAACTTTAAGGCTATGCATTGATTATTGGCAATTGAATCGGGTGACGATTAAAAACCATTATCCATTGCCACGTATCGATGATTTGTTTGATCAGCTTCGAGGTGCTTGTGTATTCTCCAAGATTGACTTGAGATCTGGATATTATCAGTTGAAGATTAGTAAGGATGATGTTCCTAAGACAGCGTTTATGACTCGTTATGGTAATTACGAGTTTCTGGTTATGCCATTTGGTTTGACGAATACACCAGCTGCTTTCATGGATTTGATAAACCGAGTATTCCAGCCATATTTGGATAGGTTTGTTATTGTTTTCATCGATGACATTCTGGTGTACTTGAAGTCTAAGGCGGAGCATGTTCGACATCTTACTTTGGTGTTAAAGAGGTTGAGGGAACACCAATTGTATGCTAAGTTTAGCAAGTGCCAG